CTTTATACTAGAGGAAATTCATGTCTTCTGTTAATGACGAAATTTGAAATTTTCAAATACTTCAATTTAGGGTTGTACACAAACTTTTTTAATTAAGCATTAAATTTTTTAAAGTTATATTGAAGTTCCAAAAAATCGTTATAGAGATGTTAAGAGTTTATGTAGGGAATAAAAAAGATACAATTTTTCCAACTATTTTAACTACAATTCAGAAATTTGCCTCTGACGAAGTTGCCCTTCATCAGTAAATTTTAGAATAACAACATTAAATTCTGACAACATTTTCAAGAATCTCAGTTCTCACCCACAAATCAAAAACGGTGTAAGTAAACCGTAAAGTTTGCAACATCATAAGATCCTAATGAACTCAGTGTACTGCCAAACTACTTCCTGAAACAACTCCTTTAGTACTTTTCGTATAATTTTTCAGCAGGAAATATCGTTTGTGTGAGTGAGGAACACACATACTGACATAGCTACTTTACGATCTCAATTGGCCACGGCATTATTAGAAAATATCAAATACAAAAAAAAGGCACTGGCAGCACTTATGCCACGCAACACATCAAAACAAAGCCAAACAAGAATACAGGAACAACAACGCCGCTTGCAAAACGCAAGTAAATCAAACGCTTCACACCAACAGCAACAACACTTATACGCCCCGTCGGCTCAAATCAATTTACGCTGTGAACTTTAATTGACCTGCAATGTGCTGGCGGCACATTCTCTGTTTGTTTTTATTGTTGCTGTGGATGTATTGGCTTTGTGTTCAACAGCAGCTAAACAATTTACTGTTATATTTGCTTTTGTTGCAGCTGTTTTCGTCTTGTTACTTGTTTTCACAGAGTCACCATATCCGCCGCTGGCCATTTATTAGCGACTGCTAACGAAGTGCTCCAGCGAGTGTTTTGTATTGAAGAAATATTTAATTAAAGACGCCGACACGCGTTACTACGCCTTTGTTATCGGGAAGCCAATGGACCTTTTTGCAAGTAGGAAAATGAAGTCTATTTTTAAGCTTCGCAATGGTTACGGGTTGTTGAGGTAGGTTCTTTGTGAGCTTCCCTGGCGAGTATAATTTCCAATTATTCGTCTCGTGTAATGAGAATTTTAACTTAATAGTATTTGTTATTTGATTCACTTATCCGTACTAACTTACATTTAAATTGCCTTCCTCTTCATTTTTTGCTCAAACTAAGTTCGCTCTGCCTCCATAGAAATATGCATACTCTCACTGCTCTTTCTCTCATTCTCTCATTCTCCCCCTAGCACGTTATTCCACTCAGTTTGAAAGCCAACCGTAAAAGGAAGTGATTAAACTATTTCGAAACTAAAGTTGACCAAAATACAAAAAACTGCGACGAAAGTTTGAAACCGCAAAAATGAGACTTAAGAATTTAGTTTTAAAGAAAAAAAATTATGCAATAAAAGTGAAAACTTTTTTAGCTGGCACATGCAAAAGGGAAACAATTCCAGACAAAGTAAATAAAGTTTCAGGAAGGGAGTCCGTTGACCGCCAACATTTCTGTAATATTTTGAAAATCAACCTAATGATTAATAGCACGATGGGAATATGGTAGATGGATGCGAGAGTTGGACAAGCGAATATTGTAAAATTTGTTAAAGAACTTTAAGCGCTGAAAAGTAATGGAGAAATAAATTAAATAACGTTTATGTATAAAATTCGCGTATACGGAGAAAATGTTAAAAAACGTAATGAAAGTAAATACAAAAATCACATCGGATGCACAAAAAGTACGCCAAAATTTTACCAATAGAATTTGATCGTGCCTTAACTGTATTCAGTAGGGACAAATTGTTGTATATTTAAGGTTAGGTTACTCTGAGCGGCTACTATGGCATTCAAGTATTTGATGATTTTTTTCCGATAAATGTTGAGTTCTGGCTGACGCTGCTGGCGATGCTGACTACGTCGAACCCTTCAGTAGCTTCAAATGTTGTCTATATATATAAGTGGACTATGGTGTTACATATTACCAAAAGAATTTATCAAAGGCATTAAAATAATAACAAAATGCAATTTTCCAAAAATATATATTAAATTTTATTTCACAAAAGCCACATTTGAATATGACGCTTTCACTATACTGTTTCACATGTGTGAAAATGTGCCACAAGCTACTTCCGCCTCCTGTACTTAGATGACACTCATAATTATCAGCAGGCAAAAAAGGAAAACCAAACATGAAACGCAAAAAATAAAAAATTAAATAAAATCACTAAATAAGTGTATGAAATAATACGAGCATGTCTAAATGGCAAATACAGTCGGAAAGACATCAACAGCACCAACGCCATGCCACGAATCACACTTCGGTGCGTTCAGAGTTACGAACCGGAAAAGAGTGTCACCTTTACTTAACGCTTTCACGCTTCAACACCCAGCGATACGCTTCGCAACCTTCGTCCACCACTTTTCCTTTCACTTTCCATTTCACATTTTCGCATTTTCACAACAACATGGCTGTAACGGAAGCACAAAAGCGCCGCTGCTCATATCCGCCCGCCAGACAACCAGCCAAGCAGCCAAGCAGCCAAGCAGGCAAGCAGCCAGCCAGCCGTGTGCATGCGTTACCCAAACTCAGCGCGAACAAGAGCTCTTCCTTGTTGTTAATGCTGTTGATGGCGATATCCATTTGAAAGGATTTTGCTGACTATATGGGCTACCTTGAATTCTGAATTATTTTTCTTGCGCTTTCATATTCTTATGTATGACTGTGTAACTAAATCATATGCTATTTGCATTTTTTGCATGATTTTTAGTTTTTGTTTTTAAGGACGTGTTGGAAAAGATACCTCTTGACAATTGGTGTCAATGGAACCAGTTCGAAACTAGTTGTAGAACAGCGGAAATAAAACTTGTTTTGATATCCATATTTCTATGCATTTTGTTAATTAATAAATGAATGAATATTTAAAAATTGGTAAAGATACAGAATAAAAGTTTACAGCAAACATTAATAACGAAATTTTTGAGAAAAAAAAGTTGAAAAGTCTTTTTCATTTGAAAGAACAACAAATCACTATTTCAAAATTATGTAAGTGTTGCTATACTTTAGCAAGAGCCCCGTTCATTTAAACATTTTGAAAAAATTTTCATTGGGAACGTTTTCCGTTTCAGCAGTATCTCTCAGTTTTCCGCCTCGCGCACCCTCAACTCCTTTCCACGAACCACTGTGACATGGCAGCCCTAAAGTTGCGGTTTCAGAGGTTGCAATTAAGCAATAAGTATGTGTCGCTCTCCCTTCTCCTCTCCCGTGAAATTTGTGGTTTATTTACACATTTCTCTTAATTTGTACGCTGCGGAAGTTATACTTTGTGCTTTGTAATTATAATCACGCCCACGCCAAAACGCCACTGCGCGTTTCCGCTTATGGTTTACGTGGTATGAGTGTCTGTTTGTATGCAGGTGTGTAAGTACATATCTATATACCGAGCTCCTTTATTTGAAAAAAAAAAAAAAAAATATTTTGGTTCAGCTGCTGAATTATGCACATCTTCCATTGGTAATCGGATTATCGTTATATGTAATCGTTGTAATGGTTATTGCTCATGCTATTATGTGGTCGTTGGAAAATTATATACGGAAAAATATCTCTCCGTTGCAAGCAGTGAAACGTAAAGAGTAATTAAAAGAATTATGTTGACAAAATTGGTTTGGTTAGTGCTGTCCACATGAGAGTACGGATTATATTCAACAATCGCTACGTGACATCATCTACTATTATTGTTAATAAAATCTAATTTTTTTTAATTAACTTAAGGTAAAATTGGGTGAAAAATACAAGCTGAGAAAATATGTAAAAATAAAATTAAACATTTAAATGAAAGACTTAAAATAAAAAATTAAAAAAAATTGTCCTTTTACATAATCTATAAAACATCCAGAAATTGCGAAAATCAATATTTTTCTTAGTCCCAGCTATACCTAAAACTGCCTAATAAAACTCACCCTCACCCTCAAATCAAACGGTATGGGACTTTGCTAAGTACCGAAAAGCACTCTTAACTGTAGGAAACGCTTAACGAAACGCCGTTACCCAATTGCAGGGAATACTGAGAGCGAGATACAAACAAAATATTTGTTATGAATTATTGTGTCTAGGTTAGTCGGTTTGTATAATTAGGCAAACATCGCCTAGGAGTAAACTTTTCAAGGAATAATATTCTGTAATAAATCTTCCGCCCTGTAGTACAAAAAATGCAAAGAGTTGAATTCATACAAAAGTTTATATACGTACATTGGTTGGTTGGTTGGTTGGTTGGTGCTACTCGTACGTATCTTGTTCGTTCTTTAGGTCGATCTGGCATCGATAAACGCAAGCCTACCGACTCATCTGGGTTAAACGCGTATTTTAATATGTTTAGAACGTACTTTTCCAAACACAAACAAACAAAAAAAAATCGTTAAACTTTTTTCCAATTAATTATTTACCATAAAAAAATATTAAGATCTTTATCTTACTTAGCATTTTTTAGTAAACTTTTCTTTGAAGAATACCAAAATAATTTATCTCAATTTTTATTTCTATATCTTTTTAGTCACTGGATTACCATCAATCGGGCAATGAGCGATGTTCAAAAATCTCATAAGATATTAAAAGTAAAAGGCAAACAAATTGTCGGTTGTGAAAATGTGAAAACACTATCAATAAATGTTTGTGATATTATTTAGCAGTGAACTGAGTACCGATAAGCAATAAATTACTTAAAACGCGCCAACCACTTAACGGAGCTTCCGGTTGTTTTCCGCCGGCTAAAACTTACTAACACCAAAACAGCGACAACAACATTCACAACGACGACCAAAGAACCACACAAACGATATTCAAATGCCGTTGTACCGGCTCTGCGCCACCTCCTGCCAGATAATGAGAACGCGACAGCACAGAAAAGTTAGCAACAGCGTCAACCGTGGTAATTCCCCATATGCAGAGTGTCAAGGACGACGAAGAGTGGGGCAGCGCATTACAAAAATGAGCACTCCAACGTTCTTGTTGTTAATATTATTACTACCGTTACCAATAACAACTACCATAACAGCGTCAACAACTGCCAGCAAAAATGGAGCTAATGAACGACCGCACGAAGGCGAAAAACACGCCCCGACGCCGGCTGCCGGGGACGCGTTGCAACAGCACCTGCATGATGCTGTTGTTAATAAATCAACTACAATTAGTGGAAAAAGTATGATGACACCGCTGGGAGTAGGGGTGTTGGCAATGCGTGTCTCCATCACCACAAAAGCGGCGGGTGGCGCTGTTGCGGGTATCGAGCGCGTGAGCGCAGCTGCCATAAATTACCGTGTTGAGCAATTAGCGCTTAATGCAAGCGATGCATCGCCACCGCAAGAGCATAAGTTAGCGGAATTTTTCAACGTGTCCCCGCATGCAACAGCCGTGGACGAGGTGAAAGAGTTGAACTCTGCAAAGCAACAAATTCCTAACAGGATAACCGTTACAAGTGGGAATAACAAAGTTGTTGCAGAAAATTACGTGGCGTTAAATAGGAGTAGTGACATGAATGTTAAAAACAACAATAATTACAACAATAACGACAAAAGCCACTTTGATAATGGTGTTAACAACAAAGCCAACAACATGAGCGCTAAGGCATCGCTGATAATTGATGCTTTGTCTGATGATGAGCGTGCGACGGTAAAAGGTAAAGCGAAAATGTTGGAGCCGCAACAAACTAAAGCAAAAGAGCTGCAACAAATACATAATTACCAAGGCAATCGGCAAGAGAAAATCCAACAGAATCCACAAAAACAACAAATGCAAAATCCCCGGAAAACCCAACAAAAGAAAATGCAGCCAACTTTAAGGGGAGAATCTGAAAACCACCAACCACAACAGCAACATCAACAACAAGCAATAATTGCCGGCGAAAAGCAATTGAATGCCAAAGAAAAGCAGAAGTTTCCGGTGACTAATGGGTTTGAATACGTAGAAGAGGGATTAACAGTCATGAAAATGGTTGCGAGCGACTCTGAAAGCAACAATAAAGTGCCGTTTCTGGCAACAGAAACAACATCGAAAATGTTACCGGTGAATTGGCTTAGAGCACGAATTCGTACGAAAAACACCGATGATGTCGCTGTTGCCACAACTGTTGGATATGTCGATGTCAAAGATTCCCATCAAGATGATGGTCACGGTAATGATGATGGTCTATTTCTCTTGCCAACTACAATAGGCACAACAAAAGGATCTGTAGTTAAAACGGAAAGACAGCGACCGACGACATCACTTAAGCTAACCACAGAAACAATCACAGCTAACATTGAAAACCTGCACGGAACCTCAACAAAAAGCACAAGAAAGCGTTACGAAAGCAAAGCGGACACTGCGGAAGCAGCTCAGATTTTGTCAACAAATGCTGATTACCCAGATGAGAATGAATATGTAAGTGAGAGTGAGCCAACTCACGCAACTCATGCCGCCGAAAGATCACAGGAGACTCAAGCAGAAAGCTTAGAAGTTGAACAATCGGCCGACGCGGCCCACGCGGTGCATAATGCTAAGCCGTGGCACGCGGAAGACATTAAAAATATGAAAAGCCGCTTAAAGCCGGCTACAGAATTATATTTGGAGCCAAATTTTATCAATAAAGATGCAAACTCATCGCAAAATGGTAAGCAAATAAAACAACATTCGCAGGATGTAAAGTTAACTGATTTGATGACGACGGGACGTGAGTCGGTCGAGGGCAACCGAGAGCAGCGAGTGAAACCAAGTGTTGCGAGGATTGTAGAGAAGATCAAAGTGGCTGAACTGCAAATTCCGCATGAGGATTGTAAAGGAACGCCGCACGAGAGGCAGGTAGAGCAGCCCAAATCACTAGGTGAGCAGCAGGAAAAGCTGCACAAGTCAGACAACAAAGGCCGACTGAGTCAGCAGAAACCACAGCAAAGGTTCTTGCAGCCAATAAGGTATTTAGTGGGAAGAGAAGAACAACAACAAAATCAACAGCAACAACAGAAGAAAGAGCCACATTTGCACACAAAAGGGATGCCAGATCAAGAAGCCACTAACTCAGAGCCAGTAGAGAGTGGTTTATGGCCTAAGTACAGAGGACAAGAAAAGCGCACACAACCAGCAGTAGAGGAGGTAGAAGAAGATGATGAACGCAAATATTTCACTCAAGTGAAATATTTATTGAATGCGAATGCTGAGCTAGAGCTATTGACTGGACACAAATTGACAGAGGTTGAGTCAACTAAAGAATTTTCCAAGTCACTAAGGTCACCGCTAAACGATGCAAAAGCGCAATCAAAAGCAGAGCTAGTGGAGCGTGGTGCAGCAAAAGAAGAATCCGTGGAGCAAAAATTGTTATATTTAAACAAGCAAAGGAATTCGGACACAACCGAAATGCCATCTGAGACAAAGGTTATCGGAGAGAAAATATTGCAACCGTTCAGCGATGTGACAACAAGCGCCATCAGTGGAAAACCAGCGAAGTCCACATCAGTAAATTCAACCGAGATTGCATTACAAGCTAAAGCTGAGAAGGCGAGAGTAAGTCGCGCTGAATACGCAGAAAAATTAATGACTTTTAAGGAGAGTGAAAGACAGCGGAGAACAGAAAACACAACCGCAACAAACTCATTGAGGCAGACAGAAAGTGGACGCACGCTCGTTTCCGCAGAGAAAGATGCATGTTCACAGCGCCAGCAAGCAGGGGTAGCTACCGAAAGTGGAAGAGCAAGTGAAGGACAAATGCCGCTGGGTAGGGAAGGTAGCGCTGCCTTAAAGTATGCAAATAAAATAGGCAGCATTGAGGCAACTGCTTTGGCGGTGAATAATGAAGGTCTTGCGACGTCTGAGTTGGAGCGAATGATGACAACCATAAAGCCCAGTAGGTATGATGGAAGGCAACAAGAAGAACTAGCACGAAAACGGCCACTGAAACAAAAGGAAAACGAGAAGCAACAACAACAATCAGGCTCATTACAAGCGCAAGAAAAGCATCAAAGTCGACAACAACAACAACAACTACAACTGCAGAAAAATATTAGCAAAGAACGCTCACAACTCGTCAGTGCTGGTTTAACTGAACAGCGCCAAGTAAATAAACCGACTTTAATGCCCAACATAAAAAACATAAATATGACAAACGTGACGGTTTCGCATACGTCAGATATGTTTGTTGGCTATATACAGCCTAGCGACAACAGTAATGTATTCAAGCAACTGAAAGAAGCAGCGTCACTTGTTGATGAGGCTCAAGCTACGATGTCGGACTCACACTTTAAGGCTGTTGAGGATGAGGAAAATGAGCAAAAAATCTCAGGTTTTCAAATTGAGTTCAACGACGGCACCTTTAAAGCACTCAAAATGGACAAAACAGTATTTTTCAAGCAACATCAAAAAAGGACTGCAAACCCAACAGAAATAGTTAGAAATTTCACTGCATTGAGCTCGACTGTAGACGACCCAAGAAGTGGATCAACAATAGCAATGGCGCAATCAGTGAATCCAGCGAAAATGCTGGTCGCAGAACAAAAAGCAACAACTGACGCCGCAGCTGGGCGAACTAAGTCAGACAAAGGCAAAGAACTAACAATTAATGACAACAAGCTAACATTTCACGACAATGATGATGCGCTGACAGGCACCAAGAACAGAATAGGCTCAACAGAAATTGACAACAATCGCGCATTCGGGGAGCAGCCGCAACAACAACAGCAACAAGAGCAGAGAAAATCAATACTGCTATTACCATCGATAGATTATCGCGAGCGCCGCGATGAAGGCGAGACTGTTCAGGACTGGCAACATAGGCACCACTTACTAACTGCCTACATACGACGTCCGGAAATGCGGACGGGCGAAGCAATGAAACTGAATGACACGCTCTTGGCAGCCGATGGAAAAGTAATTGGAATAGCGGAGCCCAGGGAAGTGAAGGAGGACGCAAAAACAAATGAGAAGTGGGTAACACAAGCAGCGCCGCTACAAAACCCCACCGCACGCAGTACAATAGGAGCAGAAATGAAGCCGAATAATGGTGGAAGCGCAAGCATAAGCAATTTCGAGGCTATGGAACGCTTGAATGAAGCAGGAGAAGAGGGAAAAGAAAAAATTGATGACCGAAATGAGCAATCGGATGAACGAGTTGAACAAACACAAAGCGTTGAGCGAGAAAAAGAGCGCGTTAATATCACCGTTGGTTCAGGCAAGGAGAAAGCTGCGAGTGAAGCCTATGATAATGCGGATGGTAACTTTACCGAAGGCTTTTACAATTTCGATAGCCTGTATACACCAAGTAAAACTGCCGAAAATGTGAAAACATCAACAGCCCCAACAACGAATGGTGACGCAGTACCTATAGAGCAAACAATGGATCTAACAAAGACTTTAGCAGATGCACGTTGGCATGTAGCTGAGCAAGCAACAACAACAACAACTCTTAGCGGTAATGCACAACATGCCAGCAACATCTATACTGCCACCGAGGCCGCTGCTGGCAATGTTGACACAGCCAGAGAAGACTCAAGCTCCAGCGTAACCATGCGGGTGGCCAGCGAGGAGTCGCTAACGGCATTGAGTGACACAGAAACAGCAACCAAATCAGCAAAAACTACAACTACAGCACCAACGCAAGCAACTGTCACAACACTGTTGTTGCAAGTAATGAACTCAACCCCCAATCCTCTGCCATCGCACTCAAGTGAAGTGGAAACAACGATAGCCGCCGATTGGGCATTAAATGACACTTTGTCAACAAGTGCGACTGTGTGGCCGGTGGAGTCTCCATACATACTGCTGCCAAATTTTGATGCACTCACCTCAACCGCAGCAACAACAGTAGCGGTCGATTATGCGTGGCTATCGAAAACAACAATGGCACCTGGTTTAGTCGATGGCATGACGCCAACAACACTACTAACAACAGCCACGCCAGGGGGCGCAGCGGCATGGCCGGTGAAACACGCGTCGGTAATGGAAGGCGATGTTATACTTGGTGGCCTGATGATGGTCCACTCACGCGAAGATAGTATCACTTGTGGTCCAATTATGCCCCAAGGTGGCATACAAGCACTCGAAGCGATGCTCTACACACTGGACCAGGTGAACAAGCAGCAGTTGTTGCCGAACATCACTTTAGGTGCACACATTTTGGACGACTGCGATAAGGACACTTACGGACTGGAGATGGCTGTAGATTTTATCAAAGGTAAGTGTGCGATAAGGGAATGTGGCAGTTAATTACGCCAAAGTGCATGCAATGTGGGTGGGGGGAAATAAAACTTTGGCTGATGATATGAAGTTGATACTGCGGATTTTGTAATTGCATATACCCATTTTGAAGAGCTTTCAATGACGGCCAATGGTGCGAAGGATATTTAGTTTGAAGAGGAAAATAAATTCAAGATTATTATATACACAATCATCAAAGATTTTAAAACTGTATATTATTTTTCTTAACTAAAAATTACTTTGTTCGATGTGCAACAGAAATGTCCTCATATTTTTAGTGCTTCAATATGAAAGGAAATTTTGACCAAAACACACAAATTATTTTCTGGCATTTGCGTTTTGCAAACAAAAATTATTTGTTTACTAGTTTACACAGCTAGGTGTATCTAAGTCTACGTCTGCTTGCAAATTTAATAAATAAATCTTACTGACCATAACAAAAAACAGCATTTAGCACACGCACACGCACGCACACAGATACTATCCTCAAGTGCATGTCTGGCCACTTATCTTTGTATTATGGATGCTGGTATTCTAACGGTACTATCGAAGGTCTGAAGAGCATAAGGGTAACAATCGTAAATCATCCGAATTGGGACACCCCACTTGGAGAGCGTTCTCCTACACTTGCTGCTTGACCGCGCCCAAAATGCAGGCTTAAACACGCACATGGAGGTCTATGGAAAAGTGCTTGGATATGTATGTACCTACAGATAACCACATACATACATACGTATATAGGTATATAGGTATAGGCAGGCATATGTGCGTACAGCAAATATATGATTAGGAATCAACCAAGCGTGCTGCCATATATTTGCAATAAAAGCTTATCCGTGTACCTATGCGTAAGTGGTTATACAAATGTACGCGTTTAAACATATATACGACGATAATAAATATCTGTGCGAGTGTGTATGACAAATTCACCAACCAGCCACATTTGATGAGTATTTGAAATGTAGCCAAGAAATTGAACATTTAATGGTAAAGCAACTCAAATGCAGAAGCCTTCAAGCTTGTAAAATTCTTCAGAGAAACATTTCGAAAACATTCTACAAAAATATATTTTAAGTATCTCACCCACCTTTCACATACTCGCCGCATCAGTTACGGTATCCATTTTCTCTTGTATTCGAACTAGTCTCATTTACTGCTGGGCTGCATTCGTAGGTACTCGCTTTCGTTTTGGCATTTTCTTTTTAATGTCTTTTCCGCCAGTTGCACCAATTGGTCAATGTAAGCCTATTATGAGGGATTATACTTTCTTGGCAAATGTAATTTCCCGGTAGCGTAACGAACCTTCGACTATTTATCATCGAATTGTCGACTGTTCATTGCTTTCATGTTCAACATATTTATGTCTGTTTGTATATTTTTCTATCATATGACTGCATGCTTGTAATAATTTATTGCCAACCGTAGCAACAAATATCTGTGGGCAGTTGGCTCTCGTTGTAGCCTTCAGATTCTTAAATATTTAGACTTATGTGTGTGTAGAATTTGCAAAGTATATTTCCCACCTTACATTGCACTCAACCAAACCACATAGCCCAGAGTAAATGATACTCTCATACTTAGTTAGTCGTGCATATTTCACATGCCAGAAAAAGCAAAGATTCGCTGGTATCATTTGGCCTTGCACACCTCACGCACCCGACATATCAGGGGGACCTTTGCCCTTGTATCGGCCTTTGAACCTCACAAAAAATCAAAAAGGACATACGATAACTTTGCGACCCGATACGTCAGCCTATGACATTTAGAACAAAATCGATGGTCAAAGGAACCAATTTTGTACATTCGATTGAAGATATCCAGATGGCCGTGACTAGGATACTTACAAACATTCCAGTCAAAGCGTTCCAGAAATGTTACACGACATGGAAAATGCGCTGGAATCGTTTTATAGCTACCCAAGGTGCTGCTCTGAAGGGGATGGCTTAGTTGTAGAATAATTTTGAAATATACGACTTTATGGAATCAGCCTCATTACTTAATTGCCACACCTCGTAATATTAACTTTGTGTTGTCAATGATGGTGTTAAGGTATTAGCTGCGTGGGTAGTGGATTTTCCTACTACCTTCATTAAAAACTTTCAGACCTGACCATTATATGATGGGAGTTGGTGCGAACGTTTTTGACTACACTTAGAAAGGAAGGTTTCGGGAATGGGACAAAATCACGAATTATAGAGTGATGGCGAGAAAACATAAAATGGAAAATAAGATTGGCAACCAGTTCACCGTAGGGAACAAATTTTCGGATATTTAATGACCCAGATTTATTTCCACCTTGCACACTACATTTTGCATATAAGTATTAAAAACACAGATTTGTTTAAAGAAGTATACATATGTACATTAAGTATGATATTGTATATGCACCACTAGGCGTATGATCAACTTTTGTTATTTTGCCAATATTTCAACTGAGCAAGCACTCATCGCCTTAAGGCCAACTGGGTTGAAAACTTCGCAGCTGTTGGAGGATTTACCTACATCTCACAGTATATACCGTATATCGATATATATATTGGTATTGTATATTGTGTGAGAATTGTAGCAGCTGAGTAGAGTTGACTTGCTTTTCCTTCTACTTTTGTTCCTCACTCAGCGTCTTCCTTTCTTTAATTGCTTTTCAAGTTTGGCGTGTAAATTTCATTTCAGCTTTATTGGTTTGTCTATTATCGAATTGTCTACTGTTGTTGTTTGCCCAAGTGAAATATGCACAGCTTAATGAACTTGTTTATATGAAACGTGCTAAAGAGTTTTAGTAATAGCGTAATGATATACGTCAAACTCGGCTGTAGCTCTTCAAGGTAACAGGAAAAATTTAAGCTTTTCTTTCGTGAAAAACTTTGAAAATTGTGACCTCACTAAATATTTTTTTGAAAATAATTTAAATAATTTCGAGCTCTCACTTCAAGTGAGCTTCACAGCAAGTACTTCAGTATTGGCGACGAAAATCTATGAGTTGTGTTATAATAAAAAAAAATTTTCTTTAATTCTTTACTTTCAGCGTATTTATATTGCTAAAATGAAGCTGTGGCCTAAGCTGTGGTTAATTTCTTTTTTGACAATTTCCATATCCACAGATCGGTTTAGGCAAACTCCAACGGGGAGTAATGTATATATATATATTTGTACATAGACTGTAAATTCGGCTTTACGTTTATTTGTAATGATTTTCTGGTATGTTATCGTCATTTGCTAAAAAAAAACCTGATTCTCTAAAGAAAATTTTACAAACTTTCTATAAAAGGCAACACACAAAATTTCATTCCAATCTTTCTTACGTAAATAATTGGCCTTCGTTACAAAAATGTTTCATATATGATTTGTGTTATCACGTAAGTAGAATGTGGGTTATGATACTAGAAACTAATTTTAAAATAAACAATAATCAATTATTCATGCTAAAAAATTATTCGCAGCAGCAAATTTCTGAATTTATCTAATTTATTTTCGGTGAAAACGAGGATTATTCCCCATATGAAATTTGAATGTTTTCTAAGCTCCATACTTTTATTTATATGTCTATTCCATTAGTTGTACGTAAATTGATTTGTTTGTAACAATAAAAAAGCACATTAGATAATATAGCCAAAACGAACAAGGGCGAAATGATTTTAATCCGATGTAACCTTAATTGGTTTGGATGCAATAAAAACTAAATTCTTTTTACAAATAATTAAATATATTGTACGTGGCAATCCATTTTGCGGTTTCAAAAATAAACGTAAATAAAATGCATTTAAAATAATGGTTTCAGTTGTTGTGTGTACTGGACTTTATATGGATGTAGATGTAAGCCCAAGTGCAATATACGCCATAATGTACCGTGAAAAACTCCCAAATCCTGAGAACGTCGAGACACTTTCAGTTACAGCGGCGAAATTTTTGGTAAGAAGAGCAATACGATGCACAGGCCTTAAAATACCTGAAACCGATCCAGTCTTCTAAGATTTCTTTAAATTGTAGTACGGTCAAACCATCCGAATATATTTCTGATATGAAATAAAAGCTCCTCATAAAAATCCATCGTCCATGTAGAACTCTCCATTTGTTGGAAAAATAGCAAAACGCAAAGCCACAAATTGGAGTAGGAGCTCTGCCGAAACTCACTTATGCGGTTAAAAAGCGCCAATTATACGAGTATATATATATATGTAGTTGGACGATTATATGCACCATAATCCCCTATTTAAGGGCAAAACGTGGCCACGCTACTTTTAACCAAAACAAAATTTGTTTGGTTTACAACAGCTGAATTCAACAGATGACAAAATAAAGCTATGCACTTTTGCAACCAGGTAATGCATTACCCTATATTTTTCATTTTATCTACACTTTTAGCTTAATGTATTCTTTTTTAATAGCCTGCAATATGCAATTAAACCCGCTGAAGCGTAGTAATGAAACAAGAAAATATCGAAACCAATAGGACCGTGAAAACACCGTAAAAGCTAAATCGACTTGCTCCATTTGAACTTTTCACACAAAAATGTTAAATGCTTTGCTGCATTCAACACTAACGATTGGGGGTGTGCACCGAGTTTTTTTTTCTAATTTCCGACACACACACTCACACACACTCACCCAGATGGGTACAGAAAGGCGTCCGAGAAAAGTCTATTATTATGTATGACAGCACTAAAAGTGAATGCACGCGTTCCAAAGCCTATGTACGAACAACCTATGTACGAGAGCATATACGCGGGTTTGCATATGCTCCGTTATCTATACGCACCACTTAGCGAGGCTTTGCGACACATGCACTTTATCGCCACTGACAGTTTGATTGCTTTTCAATGTTAAGTGTCTGTTTGTTGAATTGTCAGATTTTTTAAAAGCTTCGACATATAGATGCGCATGTGTAGCTTTGTTTATTTACGTGTGTGGATATGTGAGTGCATCACCGTAATTTTAGTAGCAGATTTTTCGCGCAAATCTAATTTGATTTGCTTGTGGCAA